AGAGATAGGGGGGGGGGCGGGGTGACGTGATGCCAGCATATGGAGGCAAGTACATGTTTGTTGTCCGCATGCAGGGTCTTTTGATCAAAAGGGTGCAAAATATTTGGAAGATGGATGTTATACCTGGTTACGTGGCATGGTGGTTCGCGTGGCGGTGGTTTGTGACGGGCGCTTGACGCGGCTCGTACGAGCTACTGGCGGGGGGGGCCGAAGCCTTTCTCTGTTTGACCTGCCGGCAAAAAGCTCTCCATCATGGCACGTCGCACGCGCCGCTTCCCTTGCTTATGTTTCATCGATTGGGAGTTCTAGAGGCTTTGAATTTGGGTGGTGGCGTGCTGGAGGGATTGACGGCAAAAACATGGCCCGATGGACGCAGGCCAGCCATGATTGCATTTTTACAGAGAAAGGGCAAACCGGGTTTTGCTGAAATCGCCTCGTTTGTTATGAGTGCATGGGGTGCGGTCAAGATATGCTAGGGAAGACTATCACTCCCCTCGGAGCCTCATTTTTTGCGAGGAGCCCCCCCCGGGTTTCGTAGGGGGTGCCCGGCTTCGGAAGTGACGCCTAGAAGACAGGACGGGGTCATTGGCTTTAGGCATGTCAGACTTCTGCCACGTCGCTACCATTTCTTGAACACTCAGACTCTGTTCCTGTCGCGCCCATTTACTCGTTAATAGGTGGGTAGGTAGGCACCTCCAAGCTTACTACCCAAGCCTGAGCATCTGTGAAGGCAAGCACGTGGCGCTTCCCTTCCCTGATAGTCTGTAGAGAAAGGTACGTGTGCTCCTTTTTCCTCTTCACTGGTTGGAAAGAGAGTGAATCCTTGGTATGACCCTGACCATGTCGAATTGCCGGACCTTCTCTTCCTTTGTCCATCCACCCACTCCCAGTCACGACACCCCCACGCTCCGGGCTATCTTCCACACCGAGGTTGTCAACCATTGCTCGGCCCTATTTATGAGCGTGACAGCTGCGACGTGGCCGGAGAGTGGCATGACCAGTAGCCACGTGAACAGTTGCAGTACCAGCAGTGTGAACAGCAGCAGCAGTGGGAGCAGC